CTTTATACTAGATAAGACTTTATTATCCTATTATTAAGGAGTCACGGTCTCTGCTCCATGCCCCCCCCCCAACACAACTTGGCCCCGCCTGCAATGCCTGAAAGGTCTTGGCGACCTGGAAGCTGGCCTGAAGAAGCCGGAATAACATAATATGGTAGTATATAACATTAATATAGCATAATGCCATGTAATGTCATATAAATAAGTAGAGTATAGTATGGTATCGTATAGTATAGCATAGTATATCATAGGAAAGCATAGTACAGAATAGTATAGCATAGTATAGCTTAGTATGGTATGGAATAGTATAGTATAGTAGAAGGGAATGATGAGAAAAAGTGATGGCTTTTAGGGGTTTGGGGGCTATCGTCCGGGTGGTGGCCAGCGGTTTCCGATGACAACCCTCAGGAGTGCAGGAAAACTGCTAAAATGCGCAGTCCCAGGTCCGGTTTTTGCTTTATCGAGGGTGGGGAGGCCCTTGCAGGGCAGACTTAAGAAAGCTGAAACGCAAAGAGATGTACGGCAACGGTTGCCGGACTGAAAGCTTGCCTCTACATGCTCTGCAAAGCTTGGACATGTTCCCAACACCCACACTGTTAAACCTTGAAGAAACCCTTGAAGGCCGTAATTGTCAACCCCCTTAGCCCAAACTTTCCTACCTCCCGAAGCCCCAGTCCCCTCAAGCCCAACAATCCCAAAACCCAACTTCTAATATAGGGGCCTAAATAATTACCAATACTATTGTGGGGTTTAATTATTATGATTAGTACACTATACGACAACACCCCTATGCTAACCCCTTCCCGACCTAAAGAACACATCTCCAAACCCTCCAGGGGGTCTGGCGAGATGGCCCCCTTTGCTGGGCCAGCCGACGGCCAACTTCCGTGTAGTCACCTCGAGCAGTCCAGGATTTGGGGACCTGGAGTTAGGGTGAATTCAGCCTGGGGGGGGGGGGTGATGTCAGGGGCGGCATATAATATAATAGTATCGTATCATATTGTATACCTGATATGGTCTACTATAATATGACATGTTCGAACGAAGCGCAAGTGGTCTGACAACGCTCTGCTTGGCCTCAGCCCGCTGAGCAAGGAACTGGAAAAAGTCTTGCGTGCCGACTGACCGCCACACATACACGACGGTTAAGGGTTTCGGGTTTAGGCTTTGGGGACACACAGTTGGAACAAGCACTTCACCAAAGGCACGTGACTTTCGTTGTTCAGCGATATCCGTCGCCAAGTGCCCTGCTGACCGCGCCCAATCTGTGAAGGACGCCGCGTACATGCAGAGCCCGACGCCCATCTTCGCAGAAATTCGCTTCGGCAGGAGGGCGCGCAAGTATCCAAAGCCAGTACGGAAACCCCGTGAACAGCAGTACTTCGGCAAAGCTGTGGAATTGCCACGCTCAGCGCGGCACCTTGGAATCCCCGAACTGCCCTGAAATCGGTGACTGGGAGTCCGATCCCACAGCTGCAAACGATAGAGGCCTGACTCATCATCTTGCACTGTGCCCCACTGGGGCACTGTGCATCAACCTGCAAAGTCCCAAGCTTCACCAACTCAAGCATAACATGTCGCTGGTTGTTCCCTTCCCACCGCTGGCAGTCTGTGCCCTGCTCTTGAAACGCTTTCTCGAAAGCGTTGCTTTGCCAAACTCATCAGTCCAAACACAATAGACAAGAAGCGCCATGGGAAACTTACGGCGATCAAACAGCAACGCGACCTTCGAACATTTACCTTTCCAAGTCGAATTTGACAAGGTTTTGCCTTTCCTCACGACGTGCTTCCAGGTACAGGTGCGGACAACTTGAGGGCGTGTGGAAGTGGCCCCCTAGTGACCTTCTGTTCGGGGTATTCCAGAGTCTACTCCTCCTGACACGAGCAAGTACACACCGTAAACCCTAAAACCCTAAACGGTCACCCTAAACCCTGAAGCCCAAAACCCTAAACGGTTGCCCTACACCTAAACCCTAAACCCTATACCCTAAACCCTAAGCCCTAAACCCTAAACCCTAAACCCCTAAACCCTAAACCCTAAACCCACAACCCTAAACCATGGTACAAGGCTGACTCATCACACGCCACGCGACGCCTGGCACAGCAGCCCGCAGAAGGCGCCTCTGTCTACATCCTGGCGTACGGAGGGAGGACGGCCAAAGACTGGGCTCTTGTAAGAAAGTTTAATTTGAGTTACAGTACTAGGGATCTATGGTAAATTGAGTTCCTGTGGTAGGGATCTATTGGGATCTATGGTAGTTTGAGTTACAATAGTAGGGATCTATGGTAAATAACATGGTTTCTTTATTACTTAACAAGACCCCAAAAGACCAGGGCATGCCAGTTTCAAGACCAGGAAACTGTGAATTCCATGACCTGCCGAACGAAACAAGCGATTTGTCGACAGCGTGCCATGTACCTGTAGCATTATTTCACAGCCTGCTTGCACTACACCTGGGGATTGCGTACCATCCCCAGCCACCAGCCCCATATCTCAAATCGAGATTTCAAACCCTGTTGTAAAACGTCACACACCTAGGAAGACGATAGTCTCCGCATTACAGGTGTCTTGAAGCTTGAACTGGCAGAGAGAAGAGAAGGGTCAAGGACAGGCGACCGGACAAGGAGGAAACGCGCAAATGAACAAGCTGCGGAGTTCAATGAAGAACCCAACAACGAAGACGACCGCAACGGCTAGGCGACAAATGTCAGCACCACCACCACCACCACCACCACCACCACCACCACCACCTCCACCTCCACCTCCACCTCCACCTCCACCTCCACCAGCAGCAGTGCAACCGCCCCTACATCTTGAAGCCCCCCCAAACCTTAAACCCTAAACCTCTGAACCCCCAAACCCTCAACATTTCCACGGGTGGCCCTCCTGGAGCATGCACTGCGGCTGTGCCGAGGTGCCTGCTGGCCTGGAAGCTCAGGGCCCTTCTCTCAAGGGTTCCTTTTTGGATTCCTTTGAGGGGTCTGTAAGATGATGTAAGCCGTTAGGAGTTTGGGGTTTAGAGTTTAGAGGTTTATTCAGAGGCCCAAGAGCTTCAGGAGATTGATAGTTTTGCCGGACTTGAACGTTGAGCATTCGGGTGATAATTTTTCGGGTTTGGGCATTGCAGAAAGATGGCTGAAACTCCAACTCTCAAGCTCCATACAAGTCATTATGGAAGGAGTATTTGGGTAGCTGCCTCTTCCCGAGCCAGCACCGCTCCTCCGAGTCTCCCTGTGCCGAAAGCATCCACCACGGCTAGCCCAAGAACTGCTGAGCCCGGGTCACGTCGGCCGCACAGTTGAAGGTGCTGGCGTCGCATCTGGGCGAGCAAGTGTACCTGCAACAGAGATGAACACCAGGAACAGCGGGTGCCAGCATTACAGAGTGGTTACAAAGAAGTTCAAAGGCCCGCCAGTCGTCGAGCCTGCAGAAGCACCAGTTGCGATCCTTACACTGACTTGCTTTATCTGGCTGAAGAGCCCTTGATTTGACATCCTGGATCCGAAAACCTCTCAAACCCTGAAGGCAGGGGTGGTGGGGTCACCCTGAAAGGCCAAGGACTTCTCCCTGGACCTCATCGTGCTGACCTGCATCAACTTATTCTGAACTTATTCTCATGAAAGAACTGAGACTGATGCCACGATGCGAAAGCAACGCAAATGAGTCCAACGTGAAGTCTTGAAAGCATGTTGCAGCTACCGGGGCTGCGACACGGAGGCTGCTCGTAGTGGGATATGGCCCACAGGCGGCCGAATCTGAGCACACTCCAAACTCTGCGATCTGCAGTTGTCGTTGCATGCTGGGTCTTTCGGGCAGAACTTCTTGGCCCTAAACCCTAAACCCTAAAGCCTAAACCCTAAACCCTAAAACCCTGATCCAGCTTCGCTACCCCGAGCCTCAGCAGCAGACACAGCTGGCACACCTGAGAAGCTCAGCAGTTCGGGCCAGCGCTTTCAGCAGGCGAACATCCCAGTAATTTAGTGGCAATACCCGTCTTATCACAGAATATCATCGTAGTACGCTTGTAGTATTGTTATAGCATTACAGTATTATCACAGTATAGTCCCTCAGTCGTACTATTGTAGTGTTGTTATAGTATGACTCTAGTAATATTACAGAATTATTACAGTCTTATGTAGAAAAGCAATAGACATCGAGACCCAGAAGTTTCCCAAGAGCTAGTTCAACGCCATCACACAGGTGTCAGGGCGATTTCCACTTTACGCCTTGATCACTGCGGCTCAATACTATAGTACATAATGCTGTAAAACCTACAACAAAGTAGATTATGGTAGTTTAAGGTAAGTGTAAGCAATGAACTTGAGGTTTGTCAGGGCTTGTCCTGAACCTTTGGTGCAGGAGGTACCCCCAGTTTTGCTGTCAAAGGCTGCCGTGCTGTGAGTCACAACATCCATCATCCTTGCTCGAGATAAGACCATCGGCCCTGCAGCTTTTCTGACCTTGAACCAACTCAGAGCAATAACCCAACATAATTGCAGAGCGCCTGCCACCGGAGCAGCATGCCGCTGACTACGAGCTCGGGGCTCTGTGAGGCTGGGAAAGCCCAAGGACGGTTCCAAACCGCTGGCTTTTGAACTTCGGTTCGGTCAGTTGGCTTCACGGCATCGTCGTTTTGGCATCAGAGTTCTGCACTCATGCATGTGAGTCGCTATGGCTTGCGATTTGCCTGAGTTGCTATGCTGGTGAGCCACAGCAAGCCACGGTCGGAGATTACTCCGAGCATCTCCGAGCGACCTGCAGTATTAGATGCGCTAGTAAATGTCATAATCACAGCTCGTGGTTCTTCGTATTGCTTGCGACAGAATCATGCATGTAATGTAGATCGCCTTTTGGCGCATTGTGGCAGGCCGTACAGGTAGCGGGCCATCACAGACCACTTCGTGTCCGTATCTCAGAAGTCTTTTTGATCTTGCTTCTGTCAGCGCAGGATCGGCGCTCCTGGATCCACGATCCTCAGATCCTCTGCGATACGCGCCACTCACCGGCCGACGGCACCTCGCGCCGAGATTCGGATCCCCGCCTGCTTCATGGAGGCCTCGCGATGCCACAGAGAGGCGGTCGTGTCTCCGGCGACAGGCATTTCAGTTCCGACGTCCGCTCCCGAAGGCCTTCAGCTCCTCGACAAACTGCGGAGGGGCCGAGGAGCCTCAGCGTGACTTCATCTCCGTGCTACGATCTGCTGCGATGTTAGGGTCCATTTCAGCCGAAGAGCCGCTCATCTGCGCCAGCGCATGGTTCAAGGCCTGCACAGCTAGGATTGGGAGTGGGTTCCGGATCAGAAGTGCATGCTTCGTCAGATGCCGCGAGATAGCCATGAAACCTGCGCTAAAAAACCTGCAGTGTGTAAGGACGAGAAAGGCTTCCCAGCTTCAACTCCGAGCCACCACTCCATCCCTAATATAGGGGCCTTAATAATTACAAAAGGGTTTTCGGGCACATGATACTATAACTACAATAAGGACCCCCCCACCATAGTATTGGTAGTTATGTAGACTCCTACAGTACACTGAGCCTCCACGGGAAGGTTGCTGGCATTGCGGAAAGCTTTGCGCGCCAAGATCATCACTCGATCCCACCTTGGCAACAGTATCAGGCCCAACTACATGGCGTTGAAAGAGCTCCTCTGGATGTTGAGTCGGCGAGTTCCGAGGCGAGTTTTGGAACTTCAGGAGACGCTTAGAGAGCCTTTGAGGTCTCGCATTCAAACCTGCTTCCGGTCCTCGGCGACGCACATGCAAGTGAGCATGTCAGCCGGCTGCAACATATCTGCACAAGATCGCTGCTCTCAGCTCAACTCATGGCATGCACTGGGCCCGAAGGCATTCGTCTCTAGAACATCCCGCATCCCCGAAGGCCGTAAGATGTGACCAGGCGGCTGCTGACTTGCCACCATGCCGGGCAGCATCCTCTGTGAGAATGGTTGGGGTTCTGATTGCTGTAGATTTGTGGATACTGTGGCGAGGTTTCCAAGGTTCAGATTTGGCAGGTGCTCAAAACAAGCACGCTAAGGTGGTTGTAGACGTCTGTAGATCGAGGCAGCCTCGTCGCAGTACACTTTCTTGTGCAGTACAAGTCCTCTGTGAACTTAACCCTGAGAACTCGGATGCACCCGGTTCCTGGCTTCAAGGAGTCGGAGGCATTCGCTCGTCGTGCCAAGCGCAGCCGAGTTTCGTGGCGATGGTCGTAGCATCCGGCTCGATACCGCTTGCCAGCATTAGCTCGAAAGCTGCCCAGGCGCTGTCATACCTTTCATCCGATTGCTCGTGCACTTCTCCAATATCAAACCACTGCCTACTAATGCCGACTGTAAGGGCCTCAGTCCTTTGTTCTACCGATTTATTGAGACCCCGCAATCCCCAATATCTCTTGTTTGGCCCGATTAAGACCCCTAGCGCTTACCGCCTCTCAGTGTTTGATCAGTTTGGATTGAGGATCTAGGAGGCCCTCTGCGCCAAGTTGCTTCCTCGTCCGGAAGCAGCCACTCATCAGGCAGGTGTAGTGGATCACCTGGGCTGGTTTACCGCTGTGCGGCTGAGACGGCTGATCAATGAAGCCCCAAAGTACGCCACGCATCCCAGTCATCAGCAAAGCCAACATGAGCGCACGGAACTGATCCATGTACCCCAAGTTGGATTACCGAAGATGCATCTGAAACAACGCTACCTGAGCCACGAGGTCCTTGTCACACGAAGCTCGGCCCAGTCGCGGTAGGCTTGCCTCCAAACCTTTTCTCCCAGGACTGGACCAGTTCCAAGGCCTCCTAGAGGGTGAGAAGCACAAGGAAAGATCTACAAGGAATGCGGGGCTTTTGCGGCTTCGGGCTTGCACAAGGCGTCAGCGCCTGGCCGATGACGAGGGCGATGGTGCTGCTGATGAAGGTGTGATCTTGCTGCGAAGAGCAAGATCACTACGACTGTGAACCCTCAAGCTGATTTCGGTCGCAGGAAGTGTGGAAAACGCGACGCCAAAGCCCGATGTCCTCATCCCGAGAAGTAGAGGGAAAGCAGACCCTGAGTTCCCCGACCCAACCTAAACCCTAAACCCCAAAACCTAAGCTCTAGGCCTGAAATTCTAGACTCTAAACCCGAAACCCCTCAGCCCTAGAGTCTAAACCCTGAACCCCGAAACTCTAAACCCCAAACCCCTTAACCAAAACCCTGAACCCCTAAACCCCTAAACCCCTCAACTCTAAACCCGAGGCGCCTCAACTCTAAAACCTAAGATAGCCCGGGCGGAACGCACTCCTGATGGGCACCGCAACGCCCAAAGAGCTTCAAGAGGGTCACCTCACTCAATTCAGCAAAGTGCTCCCCTCAAAGGCCCTTACCACATGTTATCTGCCAAGACATAACAAAGATATACTATGTGCTATGTACACCATATCTGGTATATGACATATTATATACTGAATGGAAGAAGTCATGTTGTCCCGGACAGCCAGGTCGACAGGAGTCGCAAGATGTCAGAGGCCTGCACAGCTGCAACTTACCGAGGCCCTGACAAAGGTGACATCGGAAGGAGCAACCCCAAGAGATATTAGGTCCTCGTGCGACCGGTAGGATTGAAGGTGCAACACTTCATAAGTTCCGGCTTTTTGACACTGGCATTCCGGTGGCCCTGACATCCCACGCTCGATCCTATGATTTTGAAGTCTGTTGAAATGAATTAAAGAAAGACGGTGCAACTATCCCAGCTCACAAGTTGCGAGGGGAATGTTCGGTTTCGTGCTAGTGCCGACGTCATGGACACCACATGCACTTGGGCGCCGGTAAGCGCTGATTTAGTTTGACCATCCATCGTCCTGGAAGATTTGCCGCCCAAGCTCGCAGTTGCGCTCGTATCGGCATCCTCGTCAGATCTCAAAGATCCCTGGTTTAGGGCTTAAGATGGTTTAAGGGATGCTTAGGGCTCCGATGGGTTTGGGCTCTTGCATGCAGCAAACCTGTCACGCCTAAGCCGTTGACTCGGTCATACTGCAAGCTGTATCTGAAAAAGCCATCTACCTGCGCAAAGTACGACATTCGCCATCATTGACAAGGACTCGCCAAGTGGCTTAAAGCTTATAGCTCATAAGAGCCACAGAAGCCTTCTGTGAATAGGCAAAACGACAGCGGTGCATAGTGGCTTCCTTCCAAAAGGTGGGTCAGGATGATGTCATCGGGGATCTGGCCATTAAGCTTCATCTCCTTGACTGCTTAGACAGGAAGGGGTTTAGGGTTTTAGGGTTTGGGTTTAGGCTTTTACGGTTTAGGGTTTAGGGTTGAGGATTCATGGAGTGGTTGTGGGAGCTCTTCGCTGAGCTTTGGGCTGAAGCTTCGGGAGCAACCGACCTCGACAGTCGGCTTTGCAGCAACTGCGGGGCCCAAGCGGTTCCGTTTGCCGAATTGATGCTCCAGAAAGCTAAGCCACCGGTTTGGGTCGTTTTTCCATGCTCATATGAGATGCCGCTCTCCAATGCGAAATTGAAACTTGCAATTTTATATGTAAACATATACGAACATATACACATTTTCATTGTACATACTAGGTGAGCAATGAGTATTGCATGTTTAACGTTGCACATTACATACTGCGCATGAAGTACGATGCATCATATATTGAGTACAGTACTACGCAGTATTGTAGGTTACAGGTTTTGGAAACACCGTCTGCTATAACAGACATACATACGTTCAGACATACAGACAGACAGACAGACAGACAGACATGCATATATATATATATGTATATATGCATGTGTGTGTATGTATGCCTGTATATGTATGTACATTTACCATGTACTACTTACTACATACTGACTAAATACTATGTACTAGAATACTAGAATACAGTTCCAAACAACATAATATAATACAACACAATAGAACATAAAATGATGCAACCTATATTACATACTACATCTTATGTACTACATATTGCATATTACAGCTACAGGCTACCTGGTGCGTGTTGAAGCTAAAGTTTGTTCATTTCTTGTTTAGCACGCTTTAAGCATGATTTTGGTGGTGTAGGAATTGTTGCCGTCCGCGCCCCACACCCGCATCTCAGGGCAGCTGCGAAAACGTCACTGCCGCCCTCCACGAAGGGTTCAAGAAGGGGTAAAAATGCAGCCAATGTGCCAACAAACACGTGTTAGTTTTGACACTCAGGCTCGGACAAAGCCAGGCAAGGTCAGGTTGAAGTTTTGTCTGGGGGTGTAAGTCTAGGTGATAGGTTGGTTTTGTTGGGGTTTATTGGTTTGGCGGTTTGGGTGCTTTACGGTTTACGGTTGTGGGGGTTTTGGGTTTTGGTTTAAAGTTAAGGTCTTTAGGGGTGGTACGCTTCGTTGAGGATTTGCGCGGGTTAGGTCTTTCGCAGTTGGGTCGCTTTCGGGTTTTGCAGTATCAAAAGCCAAGAAATTCAAGCCTTATGTGCTTGGCCCCGGGCGACAAAACAAGGCTGGAAGGTGCAGCCTTCAAGCTCCCTCACCTTCCGCTGCTGCTCCCTTACCTCCTTGCGTGCCTGCATGGATCCGGAGGTTCTTCACACAGGACTGGCAGATTCTAACGACAAGGACCTTCAAAAGCAATGCAAAGCAAAACCGATCTCCGGACCTCCCGGCGCAGAGCATCTTGATGAAGGCGCTGGAATACGGCCATGGCGACGCAGCAGCAGGGATGGAAAGGGTGCAAACTTTGCGTAGGCTGAGGAGCTCTTGGACAATGAAAGCACGAGGTGTTCAGAAACTGGATGAGTTTCCCCATGCCCCCCAACTCTCAAAACTTCTCAGTTAAGCTTGTCTCTCCAGCTCGACAAGTCTGCGATCGGATGCAGTTTGGGGCCGTTCGCATGCTTTGGTCTCGGCTGGCTATCCCGGCTCTGCCGCACCATCCGCAATCGGTTCCCGGCCTCGTGCCGATATGCGAAAGACAGGTGCCTAGCAATCAGTCAAACTCACTTGCGGGACTTGCGTCCTAGCACGAATCTCCCAGTCAGGGCCGGAGCTACCGAATCCGTAGATTCCGGCCAAAGCTGCCTTAATACGATCCCCTGCTTCCTGGGCTGCTCTCCATTTTTCTTGGATTTGACGGCGCAGATGCCTTTTTCACACGATCGAACACTTAAAGAACCAAGCAGAACAATAAACGAATGCTCCTGGAAGGAGTTCGCTACGTGAATATTCTAGGCCGAGACGCGCCTTGAACGTCAGGACCTAGGGTCAGTTCGAGGCGGGGAGACGGAGAGGGAGAGGGAGAGGGAGAGGGAGACAGGGCAGAGAGGAGAGAGGAGAGAGAGCGGGGTAACGGAGGAACCCGACAAAGAGAGCACAAATTGAGATAAGGGCAGCCACAACAGGAACAGGGGTGGAGACGCCGAGACGGAAAAAGGGAGGGGAGAAGGCAGACAGCAAGGAGAAGCCGAAGCGCAGCATGACAGGCCAATCCATCCTTCACAAAGGCGCGGACCAAAGAGGGCGAGGATGCACTTGGCCAAACGCCAAGCCGAGGACAAACAAGGAACGCAGTAGGACAAGCCAACAGCGTACAGAGGTGCAGACCCAAGAAGCAGCGAGAGATAAGAGAAGCTGCCAAAGGCCACGCGGAGGACAAAACAGGAATGCAGCAGGACTGACCCCCGACCAGGTTCCAACACCACGGGCACCCCCCTCAAACGAATAAACACATGACGCCACTCCCATGGCACCAATTGACTGCAGCTTGCCCAAGCTACTTTTCTTGTCGCTGGCGGCAGCGCTCACGCAGTCCTTTCAGGCCTGCTTCCAGAACAAAATTTCAACAAACGGATTGGTTCTTTGATTCGTGACGGGTGGCCGAAGGTTGGGCCATGATTGTTGTTGGCGTCGAGCACGCCAGTAGAGGGATGAAACCAAGGAACTGCATCAGGGATTAACCCGCCAAATCTTGTTACAGAATGACAGAGAAATTGCATGTGCTGCCTTTCCCGGCCCATCGTATTATTCCGAATCGCAATGCTGGATCAAGGAATCCCCTACTTGTTCTCAATCCAGGTTGCAGCAGTGGGGCTCCCGACCCAGGACATCGTTTATGCTCCAGGTTGCAGCAGTGGGGCTCCCTGGTCATGTGTCCATTCCAGGTTGCGGCAGTGTGGCTCCCTGGTCAAGTACTCCTTCATAGACATCGTGCATCTATTCCAGGTTGCGGCAGTGGGGCCCCCTGGTCGAGTATATCCTGCAGTCGGGCTCCCTGGTCAGGTACATCCTGTATCTATACCAAGGGACCTCCCTGGTCCAGGACATTGTGTATCTATTCCTGGTTGCAGTGGTGGGGCTCCCTGGCATAGAACTACAATGGGAGTGGATGCTGAGGAAATCCATGGAAACACTTGCAGCTTGCGTGCTTGCCTGCCTGCCGTGCACGGGGCCATGACGTTTTCGGAGCTCCGTGCCCCGCTTGCGTCTTAACCCCTTCAGGGGCGGAGACAACGCGGGTGCCCATCCCTTTGCCGGGGATGTCTTCTCTCTCTCTCTGTCTCTCTCTCGTCTTCCGCCGGGCATGAGGGGCTGTTTTGACCCCTGGGCCCCCCTCCCTCTCTCTCTCTCTCTCTCTCTCTCTCTCTCTCTCTCTCTCTCTCTCTCTCTCTCTCTCTCTCTCTCTCTCTCTCTCTCTCTCTCTCTCTCTCATATGGTAGTATGAAGATATGTAAGATAGCATAACATAATATAACATAACATCATAGATCATAGCAAATTATAAGTATATTATAAGATCAGGTAAGACAACATATCATAATGTAACAAAGTATAAGACATAATAAAGTAACATACATCGAATCTCTATACATTCATATGGTTTTACGTATATCAGGTAGGTGTGTATATACATATATACACTATACACAGTGCAGCAGAACTTCCTCCAATATGTCCAAAGCCTTCTTCAACTGGTGCTGGTCAACGAGGCCCTTGATGAGCACGGAATATGCAATGATGTCTGGGACAACACCTAGGCTCAAGGCTCCAACATGTCTATGCTGCAAGCCTGATTCGAGCGCATTCTAAATGAGGCGAAAGCAATGTCAACTCAGCCCTATGGCAACATACATTAGTTGCGCTGGCGTCAGGAGGCTCGTAACTTTTGTCGATGCTCCGAGCAACCAGCTCTCTATCTGAAGTAATGAAACTATGTGAAACCCTTCAACAGTAAGAGTTTATGCCTTGAACAGGAATGTCCTCCGAAGGCAAAAGCTCTTGAGACTCCCTAAACGCATGCCAGATTTCTCAAGGGTACTATAATATGGGGGCCTTAGTAGTTAGAATAGGGGTTCCTTGAAAGGGGTCACTTTAAGGGGGATCTTTAAGGGATAATTACGATAAGGGCACTATGATACAGGGGCCTGAATCTTTGGCCAAGCCGCTTGCTTGCTTCATGGCCTCAAAGAGAGCCAGAGCTTTCTGGAGGCCTCCGAAGCAGTGGGTAGTAAAAGCATGAAGCTGGGTTAGAAGAACAGGATAATTAGAATAGGGTTTCGTACCATAGTTTTTATAAGGAAGCCCCAAAATAGTAGAGGAATACTGAATACAATGAGAAATAACAATCTTTCCCCAATATATTTAATGAGTAAAAAGAACAGAAATTGAGATGATAATATCGGGGCCTTAACTAGAATAGGGTTTGGGGCCCATTGTACCATAACTACAATAAGGAAGCGCCAAAATAGTATAGGTAATCATTTAGGACCCTATATTCGTCCTACTCGGAGCAATCATGTGTGATGGAAGTGGCTGCACTGCCCAGCACTCGAAGCAGCGCCTCCACCCCGCACGAAGCCCTTGATCAAGAGCGTACCTGGGGCATAATGCAGGGGTCTTAATAATTAGATTAGGGTTTTCGGGCCCATTCTACTACAAATATAAGAAGGAACCCACATCAAGCACTTTTCCGTGCGGGCAAGCACAGAAAGCCGGCAGGGCACATCCCGATATTCAACCTTAAGTTTCAAAGCCCTCTTCACACGCAGAAGGCAGCCCAGCCACACATGACTCGATTCAGCTCTTCATTATTCTTCCTTGGGCAGCAGAAAGTCGTGCTTCGGCCGACAATGAAGACTGAAATTCTTGCAAAGGTCATGGAGACGGACAGTGATGCCGGGGAAAGCCGTGCAGTTCAGGATGTGAAGTACGAAACCATGACAGGAGCACACGAGACCTGTCACAGCCGTACCAGGATAGCTGGATGAAAACACAACAGTCATACGGAGATAGCCAGAATCGTGATGTAAACCGCACGTCCATGACCGTCTTCTAACAACTGCATCCCGGTAAGGAATTGCCCTCAGAATTAGTGAAGAGCATGAGCTATCCTTTCAAATGTGCATGGACCTATTAACAAGCTGCAAACTGGCCTCTTCAACGAAAGACATGCAACACCATCGGCATGCAGTAAACAGCTCTGTCAGTGTTTCATTACAGCTCGGAATCATTGGAACCCATGGCAAGGCGTAGTGAGTGTCCCGCACAGGTGTTGTCAAACAAGTCTGTTGCTCAACCTTTGCAGTATCTGTGAAGGCTGCAACTCCAATGTGAGGTTCTTGCGAGCACTCTGGAGAGAGAAATCAAGAGTTGTTTTGTTGGATGCAACTTTACGATCCGGACAAAACCCATGGTTCAAACATTGACAGAGCAATGATAATCAGCATAGGGTTTTGGGGTCCATTATGCTATAAATACAACAAAGAACCCCAAAAATAACATTGGTAACTATTTAGGGCCCTATACTAGACAGAACAAGGATTACTGAATCGCCGAGTGTCAGGAACAGCTCGCTGATCTCGCTGGCCACTGTCTGATCGCTCTCCGCCATGCAAGCATCCAGGAGGGCGCCGAGGGTGATGTCATCCGGCTGCAAGTTGTGCCTGGAGAACGACGGCAATATTTCAGTGAGATTATCCGAAACCATGCTTTAACCGTCCAAATCCCAAAAAACGATGTCGCTCGCAGCACCAAGCGGCTTCAGAAGGCTCCGCATGCACTCGAAGCAGCGAAGTCGGGACCGAGCCGTCCCGAAACCCTTCATCACTGTGTTGTAGGAGACCTCAATGCGAGGATGCTAGGAAACAGCCCAGCCAGGATCCGCCCTGAAACCTCCAAGGAAACCAGCTTAAGACACGGTGTCAGAGCTAAGCTCACTTTGCGGTGCTGGGATCTTGAAGTAGTATATTATTGGGAAATAACTATGGTACAGTATAAGTCGACTACCTACTATGCCAAATCATACTATATATGAACATTTATGTATGGTATCGAATATTATTAGAGGCTTGAGGGCTCCTCTTGCGGCCGAGAAGCGACATCCACCAGAGTCTCCTGTAGCTCAGGCTTGGGGAGTACGTACGTTATAATATAGTAATGGAAGTATAGAGTGAAAGTACAGCATGAAAGTATTATGTTATAGTATTGTATTATGGTGTTTTCGTATGAAAGTACTGTAGTATTATAGTACTATAGTATTATAGTATTGTCGTTTTATAGTACAATAGTATTGTAGTACTATAGTATTGTAGTATTATTGTATATTGTGTTGTACTCTACCATACAGCAGGGCGCAAGGTGAAGGGTAACTACGAAGACAGTATGAGGGAGCCACCGTATCGGCACCTGAGCATTCCTTCTGCAGCAGCTTTGAAGTGACGTCGACCCACAAGCGCATTTAGGACGCTGCAGACATGTTCCCTAAGGGTCACGAGCTGCGATGCGCAGGATCTATCTGCAGCAAGCTCCTGAAGCTAAATTCCCACAACGCAAGAAAAGACTTTGAATTCTGGCTGGAGAAGTAGCTCTGAACTCGAAGGCCTGAATCCCAAGCAGTGTCTCTTGATCCTGGCATTTGCATGGGGCCAGAGTCGAAAACCTCAAAACGGAACCAGACCGGGCCCTACACTCCTAAGAGGGGTTCGACATCCCATACTCTCCTTCATCCGCTGCTCCCGTTCGTGGGCTTCCTGCCTGGGCTTCACAGTTGAAACCCTCTGCAGTGCTGGGTGAAGTCGGAATGGGATTTCCTGGTGTGGCAGGATGAAGAGCAACCGCTTTCATGAAGCCCCAAGCGAAAAGCCGGAACCGTTACCAAGGCCGAGCCACAGAATCTCAAAGGCACGCTCCGACCGGCCGCAGTTGATGCAGGTCAGGAGGAGGAGGTTCAACATCAGAGTGCTGGCCTGCGGCGGCTGGCGGCAAGCGGATGCGAGAAGCTGGAAAACGGATGATAAGGCTGCACTTGCACTGCCAGGCGGGAAAATCTATACGGCGCCATGAAGATAGATGAATCACCATGGGAAACCGGCTTGTGAAAAAGCATGTCGAGAGCGCGAACTGGAAAAACAACTTGTCGATAGGACTTTCTTCAATCTCAGCGGACCCTGCCCCTACATATCGGCCTTGGTGTCAAGCTGCTGAAAAAGTTTCTCAGCATCCTTGACGTTTCCAAGCGCCACGTAGCATCGGAAATGAAGTACATAGTCCTTCGCATACAGAATGCTGTGCGCATCTCAACCTGACGCTGTGTGCTACATCTCATCCTGACTAGAATATCTGTCTATCTTGCAGAAGCTTAGAAGCTTCATCACGTCACTGTGACACAGCTACTTTATGCTACTTTGCCAAAGCGACCAACCTTGAGCTGTCAGAGCCCAAGACTTGACCCAGCAAGCTGTAGGCCTGAATCTTGCCCACACCCGACCACACTGCTTGCAAAGGATACTGGTCCTTGGGTGCAATGTTCGCCTGCTTCAGGCACAGCGTCAGGAAAGGCAGGTGCAAAGTAGGTGCTGCTTGGGAGGGATTCCGAGCCCACCTCGCTGAACTTCGCGAGCAGCGGTGGGGTGCGGTCGGGCACATTGAGCTCGAGCGCCGCATTGATCAGGCAGGAGAAGGTGACCTCTGCCATGCGATGCGGCAGGTCGACGATAAATGCGCGGTACAGCGTGAAAGGGATGCCGCACTGCAAGCAGTGATCTCTAGCCCCGTGACCAGCGGCGATTCCGCAGGACTGGACCCCAGGTGATTGAAATACACCTGCCGATATGTTCGAACCTCACGCTGGGCAGGCCTTGTCTGCCGGAATCAGGTGCCTGAGCAGAGCGTTTGAAGGAAAATTAAGCGACTACTATCTCAGTACTCTCGTACCGACTACGTTCTCGTTAGCACTGTTCTCGTTGCGCATTTGAAGGATGTGGACAGGTCCTGGTCAAGTCTCACAGCACAAATTGAAGACAAAACGAGCATGTCCGCTTTCCGCTAACGTCTGCAGCTGTGCGGCTCAAAGATGCTGTAGGCGGAGAGGCACAGCTCAAAGTAACGGCGACCTGGACAGCTCAATCTCAGACCCTCGCAGCTTCAAGGCTCCATTGGGAGCTTGAAGCCCTAAGGAGGAATCCCCAATCATCATACAATCATCATACTGTCATACCTTAATTATGCCTCAATTCGCAGCTGCAGGCTCTCGAGGCGCAGACTGGAGAGGAGCTTCATGGTGTGCTGCCAGAACCTAAGGCCACGGCTCCTACACCTTTGACGGCACTTCGACACGGAGCTGCTTTGCCCAATCGCGCCCGAGACTTACGATGGTGATGGTGACGGTAGTAATGATTGGCTGGGTTCGCGACCGTGGCGCTGATTGCGGTGGCTATGATAACGCTGATGATGGCGATGATGACGATGATGACGATGATGGTAATCTTCATGATGGTGATGATGATGATGATGATGGAGGAAAGAGTATGACGATGGCAGAAGGCCAACCAAACAAGGCTGCGTACACACGATCCAGGCTTGTCCGGACTGTTCCTGAGCTCACGGCTCGGGCGAAGGGACGAGGCCGCCGCGCCGCATGGTCCGAAGCATCCGCTCGGCCACATCCACCTTCACGGTCTAGGGTTCATGGTTCAGGGTTTGGGGTTCAGGGTTTAGTGTTTGGGGTTCAGGGTTTAGGGTTTAGTGTTTAGGTCCGCTTAGGGGTGACAATGAGACAGGACGTGAGCCTTACAACTGCGATCTTGCAATGTCACGAGTATGACTACTACGAGAAACGTTATGCTGACTGCCATTGTACCGGCTTCAACCACTGCGCTTTTACATCGTTTTGGAGTCAGGATTCAGGCAGTCCCGGATGTCCTTGGGTTGAACCTTCTGGTGTTCTCCGGACTGAAGCACATTAGAGAACGGATGGAACAAGATACTAAGGGCTCCTTTACGGGATCCTCTAAAGCGTACCACCATAGGGTTCTGTAATAGGGTTCCCTTTTACAGACTTGTAACACCACGCAGGGGCCGTAATGTCAGTCGAAGAACCTGCGAGCTGATGACAGCTTTCGACAACCATCCACTGCACTTAGGGTTCTCGGGCTTCGGGCTTTTTTAATTGGTCGGGGTTTAGACAGTCATTAATTATGATTTAGTTGCACTCGGGCCGGGTAGCGTGCAAGCCAGCTCATGCAGGGTGGTGGTGCTCAAGAATCTCACGGCCGATTAGAGAGACTATTGAGACCTCTTAGGTATCGGGAGCCATCGGACTTATCAACACGAAAAAGCCGACATCTGCCTTGTTGACTCGCACGGCGGACTGCACGAACGAGGCAAATAACTCCTGACACCGAGTTCTGTAGGGCGACGGGTGCCTCTGTGCCAACAACTGCAGAGAAGCCCAGGCCCCACCCCTCCTCGCTCAACAACACTTCCAGACCTGTTCGTTGAAGCCCTCGGTACCTCGCAGGTCAGCCGGCACTGTCTCAACAGTGTTCTGAGAGACTGTGTACATCTCCACACGCACCATTAGACTACGCAAGTGTTCACGGCTCACGGAAGTTCTTACAGGACTTCAAGTTTCCTTAGCTACCGTAGTGAACCTAACCTCATGAGGGTCGTAGAAAACCGTAAACCCCTAAACCCCCCTACACCCCTAAACCCCAAAACCCTAAACCCTGAACCCCTGAACCCCTAAACATGACAAAACCCTAAACCGTTAACCTCCCCCCTTTTAGAGCCCTTATAGAACCCTTATAGGACCCTTTAAAGGAACCCTTAAAGGAACCCTATTCCCTACTAAGAACCATAAGGCGGATCACTGGTTCAAGGCCCGGGTGAACTCGCAGGAGGCCTTTGAGTGCCATCAAAGCGTAAGGCGGACGATTCGGGCCCTGTTTGGGGTATCGGGGTTTAGTGGTTTAGGGTTTAGGGTTTAGGGTTCAGGGGTTTAGGGTTTGGGGTTTAGGTGAGCTCTTTAGATCTTAGAGGTTTAGGGTTTAAGTTAGGGCTTTAGGTTTTAGGGGATTTCTTTTAAGTGCAATGACCCCCTTTCCAGCTCTCGCACGAAGAGCAGGATCTGAGCCCGCCAACTCGGCATACACTACCAAAAAGCCTCAACCTGCACCTGCATTTACCACAGGCCAAGGCGAAGCAGGGGGTTTAGGGTTTTTTTAAAGCGCGGTTTAGGGTTTAGGGTTTCTGGATCCGCAAATCGATAGAAACAGATAGGAGCCCGGCCAGGAAGGCGAGCATCTCCTTCTCCGCAGCTTTCACATGCTCCTGCCAACCCGGGTTTAGGGTTTAGGGGTGCGCCTTTGGGGATCTGCGCTTTGATCGTTTGACCAACGAACAATCGCTCGTATTCAGCTGCAGCTTTGGCAGATCTCAACCTGTCCTGCACCTAAATCAAGTCATCTGCGGTGATACGAGGCCGGCGGGCAGTTTCCCAGTTCTTCCCGGAGGGCCAAACCATGCCAAACAACCCTCTTGAACCCATAACCCCAAGCCCTAGAACCCTGAAGTTAAGAATCTCCCAAAGCCTAAACTTCACACTTAAGCCGAAAGCCGCAAGAGTCGTCTCCGCCTTCTCCTGGTCGGTAAAGCTGCGGGAGCTCTTGACACGTGGTGCCTCTTCGTAGGCCGCTCGACGAGCTCACGCATTAAGGCCGCTGTTGCAGTCAACTTGTTCACTTGCACATTTTAACACCTATCCCGTGCGAGAATGCGTCGCGCAATGCCGCACATCACTGTCACACTGTCGATTCCAACAACTCCATTCAGTGCAGCACACTGTCTGTTCCAAGCCTCGGAAAGGCCGGAAACAGGCTTCAAGTAAGTATGGGTCAATGCACAAAGAAACTATTCAACTGCCTGGAAGGCGGTGGAAGTTGAGCCCTAGCCTTCAAATTTATTTCACTATGTTCATAGCTAGAACCTCCCAACCAAAAGGTTCCGGCTGCGCCTTCGGCGCCGGACATTTCTCCACTGGTGTCTCCACCAGCCCAGCTTTCCGAGACCTGGGAATTGAAGGTTTCGGGTCTTACTTCATAGACACTACAAGTCCTGCATGACTTTTACAATGCAAAACCCAAGAAAGTATTGTAGCATAGCATAGTGAGTCATGCATGATGTTCCTGACTACTTCTGATCATGAACCAGCACAACAGCATACCAGTGGCAGCAGTCGTCGCTGGAAACAGAAGCAACTGTACAAGCTGCTTAAGAGCAGGAAAAAGTAAAAAATTACAGCAGCGAAGACCCTAAACAGAATGCATGGCTTCGCCAGCAAATTTTGCGAAGAAGAATCAGGCCTTGGGCGATATATTTCTGCGAAAGAAGAGTGGGGGATTCAAGCATGTGGGAAGGTTTATGGGAGGGTCCAGGGAGCATCGTTCAGAGGATCTTGCTGCAACACCATGCACGGAAAACATGCACATTTCTCCCGCAACTGCCACATTGTTGCCGCCTTTGCAAAACAGGATACCTGGCCTCTGCTGCAAACGTTCGCGGACGAAGTGCAAAAGAGCTTGGTGTTCGCTTCGGTTGGCCGTCGGACGGGAAGAAAACGAGAATTTTGCCGTGCATGTTTGGCAAGAAAGGTAGGAAGGGATTTGTCGGCTTACAAGGCAAACATAAAGCTCTCTTAACACGGAACCATTCACGTTTTCTCTGCTGGCCGAACGAAGAGCATTGTCCACAGGATTTTGTTGCCGCAGGAACCGCACAAAGAAAAAACGCAACTTCTCCACAATTTTCATAACATTACCGTTTTGCAAAACAGGATTCCTTGCCTCCGCTGTAGACATTGGAGGAAGAAGCACAACAAAGGTTGCTATATGGATCGGTTGGCTGTCGCACGGGAAAAAAGTGTGAACTTTGCCGCGCAATTTTGGCGAAAAGAAGCACGCACAGGGGTGCGTCGGCTTACAACACTAAACAAAAATCTTTCTTTACACGGAACCATTCACGACTTTTGCCGCAGACCGAACGAAGATCCATACAATCTAGCTACCGCTGAAACCATGCACGAAAAAAAAACAGACACAACATTGCCGTTTTGCAGGACAGGATATGTGGCCTCTGCCGTAAACATGTGTTGAAGAAGCGCAAAACAGGTTGGTATACGGATCGGTTGGCTGTCGCACGGGAAAAAAGTGTGAACTTTGCGGCGCAATTATGTCGAAAAGAAGAGCAAATGGGTTTGTCGGCTTACAAGGCAAACACAAATCTTTCTTTGCGCGGAACCATTCACGGTTTTGTCCGCAGACCGAACGAAGATCCACAGGATTTTGCTGCCGCAGCAACCACGCACGGAAAAAACACGCAACATTGCCGTTTTGCGAGACAGGATATGTGGCCTCTGCTGTAGACGTCTGTGGAAGAAGCGCAAAACAAGTTGGTATACAGTGTACAAATCGGTTGGCTGCCACACGGGAAAAAGTAGGAACTTTGCCGCGCAAACTTTGCAAAAAGAAGCGCAAAGGGGTTTGTCGGCTTACATCGCAAATACAAATCCATTCACGGTTTTGTCCGCAGACCGAACGAAGATCCACAGGATTTTGCTGCCGCAGCAACCACGCACGGAAAAACACGCAACATTGCCGTTTTGCGAGACAGGATATGTGGCCTCTGCTGTAGACGTCTGTGGAAGAAGCACAAAACAAGTTGGTATACAGATCGGTTGGCTGCCACACGGGAAAAGGTAGGAACTTTGCCGCGCAAACTTGGCAAAAAGAAACGCAAACGGGTTTGTCGGCTCACATCGCAAGCAAAACCTTTCTTTACACGAAACGTCGTCCACAGGATCTTGCTGCCGCACAAACGACGCACGGAGAAACACACAAGTTCCCCTTTACACGGAACCGTTGACGATTTTTCCGCAGACAAAACGAAGAACGTCGTCCACAGGATCTTGCTGCCGCAGAAACCACGCACGGAAGAACACACAACCTTCCCGCAACTGTGACAACATTGCTGCCTTGCAAGACAGGATACCGGAAACCTGGCCTCTGCTGTAAACGTTTGTGGCAGAAGCACAAAAGAGGTTGGCTTACGGATCGGTTGGCTGTCGCACGGGGAAACGTGGGAACTTTGCCGCGCAAACTTGGCGAAAAGAAGACCGCACAGGGGTGTGTCGGCTTACAAGGCAAAATAAATATCGTTCTTTACACGGAACCACTGACGATTTTTTCCACAGACCGAACGAAGAACTTCAACCACAGGATCTTACTTCCGCAGAAACCACGCACGGAGAACACACACACACACAACTTTCACGCAACTGAGTTAATCCGACACTCAACAGCAGCACAACGATATTGGGGTAGGATCGCCGGGCAAGGCAACGAAACCCAAAAGGGAAGTCCAGCCCGAAGAGGAACACAAGCTGCAAGCGTACCTCTTTTCTCATGACTTGAGCCAAAGATCATGTCATTGGCACATTAAGCTACTCAGTCAGACATGTTACCTATACAAGGACAGGGAACGTCGTATTCGACCAACTAACTGTTACAACATTGCTGCTTTGCAACACGGGATACCTGACTTTTGCTGTAGATGATTGCGGAAGAAGCACGAAGCAGGTTGGTGTACGGATCGGTCGCTTGTCGGACGGAGCAAATTGGGAACTTTGCCGTGCAAACTTGGCAAAAAGAAGTGCGAAGAGGCTTGTCGGCTTCTAAGGCGAACGAAAATCTTCTTTTGCACGGAACCATTGACGATTTTTCCGCAGACCGAACGAAAAGCGTCGTCCACAGGATCTTGCGGCAAGTTTCCCGCAAGTGTCACAACCTTGCCGTTTTGCAAGACAGGATACCTTGCCTTTGCTGTAGACGTTGGTGGAAGAAGCACAAAAAGACATTACTATACGGATCGGTCGGCTGTCGCACGGGAAAGACGGGCAACTTTGCCGCACAAACAGGGCAAAAAGAAAAGCGAAGGAGTCGGCTTACATCGCAAACAAATATTTTCCTTACACGGAACCATTGACATTCTTTCCGCAAACCGAACGAAGAACGTCGTCCACAGGATCTTGCTGCAGCAGAAACCACGCACGGAAGAACACACAACTGTTACAGAATTGCTGCCTTGCAAGACAGGATGCCGGATACCTGGCCTCTGCTGTAGACGTTTGTGGTAGACCAGGCGCCCAGAAAGGAAACATCAAGGGAACCCAGCGGGAGTTCAGGCCCTCTGCTGCGGCCCGCCCGTCCAACCCAGGAGCCCAGAAGGAAACATGAAACGGAAGTGAATGGGAGCCCAGGTCCTTCGCCGCGGCCCACCCGTCCAACCCAGAACCGCAGAAAGGAAACATGAAGGGAGCCCAATAAAGCCCAGGTCCTTTGCCGCGGCCCACCCGTCCAACCCAGGAGCCCAGAAAGGAAACATGAAGGGAAGTGAATGGGAGCCCAGGTCCTTCGCCGCGGCCCACCCGTCCAACCCAGGAGCCCAGAAAGGAAACATGAAGGGAAGTGAATGGGAGCCCAGGTCCTTCGCCGCGGCCCACCCGTCCAACCCAGGAGCCCAGAAAGGAAACATGAAGGGAAGTGAATGGGAGCCCAGGTCCTTCGCCGCGGCCCACCCGTCCAACCCAGGAGCCCAGAAAGGAAACATGAAGGGAAGTGAATGGGAGCCCAGGCTCTTCGCCGCTCCAACCCAGGAGCCCATCGCGATAACCAGTAGTCAAGATACCTATGAACAGTGATCACAGAAAAGACAAAAACTGCTTAGTTCATGTCGTACTTGGGGCTACTGCTCCCACTACTCCCACGGGCTGCGCAGGCATGATTCTTGCCGCGCTCGCAGCGTTGTCAAATACTCGATTCGAAGCAGTGTTAGCTGTGCATACTACTCGTACTATTTCTGGCACCACTACTTCGTAGGAAGCTCCTGCTGCTGAACCACGGCTTCCGATCACGCTACTGCTACCGCCCTCGCTACCACTACCACAACCACTTCGACCACCACCTATACATTACCACTGCCAATGCTACTACTCCTACTACCACTACTCTACCACCACCATTACTACTATGCATCTACTGTTGGGTGTTGGTGTTATTGGCTGTTAAGTCCGTACGTGGGCCCTTCGAGTAAGGCATCTATCTACATGTCGGGATGCCCGAAGGCTGGAAGGGTGCAAATACAAACCCGCTGCGCATCCGCGTGTTACTGAACAGCTCTGGGTGGCAGCAGCATCCCTCTCAAGTTTCAGAGTGCAACCTGCAAGATCACGAAAGTCATGCCGACCTCCAAGCTTCAATCAGGCAAAACACTGCTCATGAACCTTTTCGCCTCTCATCTCAACCTTATAAACCTCAGCTTCAAAGCTGAGCTGTCTGAACCCTGAGGAGTCTCAAAGAATGTCGGCCCCGAGTGCATGTGCTATCAGCGCCGTACTGGCGGGCGGAGCGTCCGAAGTGACGCCTGGACTCAGTACTAGCATGGGCAGGTCAAGAAGCAGAAGAAGGAGAACACGTCCAACTGCATTGGCAATGTAAGGGAGTGTTTGCTGGCAGCGATCGAAAGTATCAGATTGGCCATCCTTATCACCATCATGACCCTACACGTTGATTGCCATAGTCTCCTGCCTGTCTTGTCATGATTGGGCACGCGGGCCGGCTCTAAAAATGGCGGGTGATTGCGTACCCATACATTTCATGGTGTTGCCTGTTTGTGTTGGCACAAGGAAAAAAGGGACATGCCATTTACGTACTCTTCCCGGCCAGCATCATCATCATCATCATCATCATCGGAGCAGCATCGCTCAGAAGTTCTGACCCAAACTTTCCGGAGCATCCGGCATGCAATATGTTGGGAGAATTTTCTGAACCTCTGGGCTCTGGAGGTCACGGCGTGGACATCATGTAGGGGCCTGAACATTTATTCCTTCTTCGTCACTGTCTAGTTTATGCAATGATATACGCCAAAATCATGTCCTAACTAATCAGGTCCCGAAATCAAAGGGTTGCGAGCTTGCGTATTGGTTCAAGTTGCCAGGAGTGCTGCTCGAGATTCCTTTGGGGTGTCTGACCATAGAGGTCTTACAATTACATATTCGGCCCCTGTTCTGAAATATCCGCATGGCCTCGCCGGTGCAAGCTGAGGGCTCGTGAATTGCAGTCTGTTCGCAGGATGCTACAAAGGTTAAACAGAAGCTTCACGTGCTTTCTCGGCTACTCCAGTGTCATACGTGCTATGCTGTTTTGTCTGTGCATGAGGGACCAGGGACCGTGCCAAAGCGTGAAGGAAATGGCGAAGGTGGCCAGGACAATGAACTCCTGTAGAAACATTCAGGGTTCATGATTCCGGGCTTATTTAGAGTTTATAGGATTCAGATATCTCAGGCAAGGCCAATCGTAGCTTTGTCTGCTCATTCCCTCTGTGGAACTTGTCTGTTCTGAGTCCAGCAAAATGTTAGGTATAAGGTCCCAAGCCGTCGAACAGGAGCAGGTTTGGACGATCCGACGGGGAGACGGCTCCTGCGCCAAAGCTGCCTGGCTGTCTGACATGGTGGCAAAGATGTAGTCCAGGTAGTTGCCTTATATTTTGGTTGCAGGAAACCCCAAGTCTCTGCATGTCCTGGCATCACAATTTTGTGACAGCTCGCCGCGCAAACCTGGCACTAGCAGCCTAGTACTACTGGCACCTTGCACAGGAGCCTGGGTCGCTGACTCAAAAACGACTGCATTCTCGAAGAGAACGTCGGATGGATAATGGAGACTGCACAGTGGCTTGGGAAACGAAGAGGTAGCTACTGCAAAGATCTGCTACGAGGTTGCAAGTGCTAGTTCTGCGATTCGTCAGGCTCTCTCCTTCTCTTACCTAGAGACGATAAGTGGATAGCATTACTACATATTCCGACCCCTAGATTATGAACGTGAGCAAGTGCATTGTGACAGCAGGGCTAAGAAGAAAACGAATTTCAGTTTTCTCGACGCCTTGTTCACCAAAGTGACCTGGAGTTCGAAGCTACCTTGTATCCTGACAACTTAGATCCGAGTCTGCCAAGTCATAGATTGGGGGCCTGCTCCTAGTTCCGTCTAATGTAGGAACCTGATTAAGAAACCCTGGCCCTGTAGCCCCTATATATCAGGATTCATATGAGTTAAGGAACCCTAATAAGGACCGAAGGTTTCTTCATCAGGCTCCTACATTGCCTCATGCCCAGTTCTAGTGACGGTGGGATGCCCTCGCAATCCGCTTTGTCAGGGCCGCTGAAACACGAAACGGACTCCAAAGCGAGGGCCCATTTTCCGCGCCTCACGTAAAGCGTGCGCCCTGAGGGTGGAGCTTCCACAGGGCCCTGAATTGCACAAACTTGGAGCAGGGAGTCCGAAATCGGGATATGGAGTGTGGTTTTTGAGTTGCAGGCTTCGGGTCTCTATAGACTGTGGCCCATCTGATGCGTTTTCCTAATCCAGGCTGTCGCCAGACCTCGCAGCTGAGTCCCTCCAACCCCTGATGCCTGCAAAGAGTTACACCACGGGCAAAGAGTGGCAAAGGATAAGTTTAGTATGGGAGCCTTAATAATTAGAATAGGGTTTTGGGGCCCATAACACTATAAGTATATTATAAAGGAAACCCCCAAAACCGTGTTGGAAATTAGTTAGGCCCCCATATTAGCAAACGCTCGCCTCGAGAACTCCCATGTCTCTCGATGGACCGGGACCCCGACGAAATGAAGGGAAGAACGTCGCGCGGTGTGTGAAGAACACACAAAGGGTAGAACACTAGGAAATGCAGCTGAGCCAACGGCACGGCAATAGTGCTGCGATGTCACGCATCCTACGGTCTTGGGAAATGCTTCGATCTGAAGGGTGTCGTCTGCGATCGTGTGAACTCAAGCCGGACAAGTCTGGCCTCCGAAAAGCCATGTTACAACTGTCTTGGGGAGGACGACAACTGTTTGCAAGCGGCCACCTTCAATACTACAGACTCAACAGCGTGAACGACATGTTTTTTGAGACCGCCCAAGCTTCGCGACTCTTGAAGGCAGCATCAATCCACCTGACCACGGCACGGCGGAGGGGCTTGTAGGAAACTCCCGTAGTGAGCTATACAGATGAAGTTGATGTCACCTCGAAGCTCGTCGATAGGCTCATTGGCTTCAGCATCCGGCGACGTGTCTGGGCAATGAGTGATGGTGGTGACGAACCTTCTCCGGATGATGAGGCGTCATGGGAAGGATGATGATGATGACGGCGATGAAGATAAAGATGAAAAATATAAGTTCATGATGATCAACGGTCATGATGGTGACGATGATGCCCCCATCATCACCACCAGGCCCAAGCAAATGCAAGGGCCATAACCCATACTTGGACCCTTTACAACTCCCAAGGCAGCCTCCGGGCCTTGGCGACCTCTAATGCAAGGAGCAGACTATTCAGTTCTGAAACAATGGAAAAGGCCGGTATTTTGCTTTTTGGGGTTTAGTATGTTAGGTTCGCTGAACCATCATACTGATGATATGTTGTACTATCTATTCTAGTATGTTATACTATATTACATTACATCATATCATAGTTCGTGTAATATGCTCACGGGTACAAACTGAGGCCTCAAGCAGCCGACCATCGCGCCGGGCCGCCGGCCAGGCGCCCCGACGGCTGGCACAGATGGCAAAGGGCCCTCAAGTTTCAGGGTTTAGGGTTAGGGGTCTTTAGGGGCTTAAGGGTGTAGGGTTGGGGTTAGGGCTGGGGGTTCAGGGGTGTTATGGAAGTTAGCAGCACGAGACAAACAGAACAAGCCATCAAGTCAATGAGATCATCCGGAACTGAATCTCTTCCATCGTCCGCTGAATCTTCGGCTAGTGTAACGTGGAGAAGCTGGCTGTTGAAGCAGCAGAGTTATTAGCAACTAGTTACTAGTTCCTGTGTGTCAATATGGAGGGAAGGTGACGCCGGGCCTCGCCACCGAAACAACGCATCCTGATCGCGAGTTGGGCACGGGGGCGGGGGCTTGCAACATCATGGATTGAACTTGGCTGGATTTTGCTAGAGCTTGGCACAAGGAAGGAAGCTGCTAATGCCATAACCTCCCAACATCTCCCAACTCTCCAAAAACGCTTTCCGACAAAAGCAGCTCAAGCTGATGCAATACTGCCCCTGTTACGGGCAGTGGCAAAGCTTGACGACACACAATCCTCGGATATCTTGGCGGCAGAATGGTCGTGCAGCTGAAGCAGGCCCAGCACCTCTGGCACACGGCAGCGGACGTGAGCCAGCTACAAAGCTTTAGAGTTAGGAGGCTCCATGGCTTACCTTTGATTAGTAGGGAATGGAAGAATGGTAGCAATAGTAGTGAAAAGTGTACCCTATGCCTCCATTCCCTGCTAACCAAAGGTAAGATGGGCAGACGTCAAAACAACAATTGTTGTTCCACAGCCGAGACAATTAGCGATCGTCGGCACTGACAAGTATTCAGTATACCGATGGCATTACACATCGAAACTACAATCACAGCTGGCACTCGGGATCACCTCTCAAGAGCTTCAGTAGCAACTTATCCGAGACTTTCACAGCATCCTTTGTGACGCCTTTGGCGCTCTTTGGGCTGATTCTGATATGTAGCACCAAGACAGTCTGCGGCAGCCTCACCGGAGCTTGGCGATTGCTGGCTGCGGTGCATGTCTGCGGCCTTCAAATCCAAAGCGCTTTGTGTACGTTGCACCGAGCGGGAGCAAGCTCCAGGGTCACTGCAAAGCAGCTCGTCTTACTCTCATCAACAAGTGCTGCTCCTTGAAAACATGGCCCGGTTTAGAGTTTATGACTGATGGCTCATTCTTGCGCCATGGAGATGATGTCAGCATTTGGGGCTGGCGCCAGCTCCAGCGGTGTGGCTCCTGGACGGCCATGGGAAGGAAAACCAGACGGGTTCTTGATCTGAGGTGCTTCAGACGAAACACCCTTTCCAAAAGCATCAGACAGTACAGCTAAACCCTACACCCCTAAACCCTAAACCATGCACCCTAAACCCCAAACCCTCGTCCTTTGTAGGGACCTTCCAACAGGCGGACGTCTGCCGCAGCGCCGGTGTGAAGAAGCAGCTTCACAGTCTGGTTGAGAGTTTCGGGCTTTGGGTGGGTGGGCATAGAATTCCGGGGCAAAGTATGAAGCTGGGAGTTTGGGAGTCTGTAATTTTACATATTTATCACGGTTGTCACGACTCAGAGCTTCAGGTCTTCACTGAAAACCATACTACCTGGTTTAACTGCCTTTGTGACTACAAGGCAACTGTCAAGAATCATCATCACCACAAAACCACCATCCCCGCCGCCGCCGCCGCCTCAGCGGCAGCGTAGCAGTGACCACTACGACAATCACCGCTGTGCAAAGCCCAGGACATAAGACCAATCACCGGCGAAGTCTTCTACATGCATCTACTATAGGAGCCTTAATAATTAGAATAGGGTTTTAGGGCCCATTGGACTATAAGTATAATAAGGAACCCCCAAAAAGGAACCCCCAAAATAAAGTATAGTAATCCACTGAAAACAAATTGGAGCGCAACAGACTGGTAGTTGAAGAGCTCTTTACTTTCAGTGTTTTTCCTAAGGCAACCTGTAATCTTTACTTTGAGTACACTGGCTTTGAAGTTAGAAATAGGGCAGACTTGTACTTACCGTTGTTTAGTCTGCGCGTTACCCTGTGTACTGAAGCACTACATACGGCCAGAGGCGGCTTCAGAATCGGCAGTGTTGGCCCCAGGATTTTCCAAGAGCTGCACATGCCCTCGTAGGACTGACAGACGTCTAGATCAATCTAGGCTGGGATGTTGGCACTGAAAAGTCCTGACTAGACATATGTATGACCCGGCATGTTGCAAAGATGATCGGAGATGCCACATGCTCTAGCGAAGGCAATGCATGAGGATAACTGGCAAAAACCCGAGAAGTTCGATGGATGCCAGTGCCTCAAAGTGCGACATCTGCACTGCGTAGTGGAGAGGTGTTGTTGCGTTCCTCTTGCAGCTCATGCTGAGACCAGCATGAAACTTTGCTAGATCGGGGCTTGACTATCGACGTGAAGACTACGATCCTTGCAGAGTTCGCCATGGCTACAAAACCTCTATGACGCCATCCTCAGGTACTCCGCGGGTATACAGTCACTTGGGTTGAGGGCTCGAGGGTCTTGAACCGGACTTTGAAGTTTGATGAGAGGCTACAGTGATGGATTCGACAAGCTTGACCTGCTCGTGTTATTCCTTCTGCTGTGTCGTCCAACTATACACTGGTTGTAGCATTTCTGCAGGCAACAGCGCTGTGGCCACAGTTTTCTCCGTACTATACACCATACCCACATCTACGGACGCCGACCGATCCCGATCTATTCCTAAAGTCAAGGCTGTTGAAACCGCGAGAACCAGTCATCAGTGAGAAGTGAAAGAGACCATGTCCAACATGCATGTAGCTGTTGTTGCAAGCCACCGGTGCCATGTCACTGTTATTACCGCTGCTCTTGCAACTGCCGCTTGACAGCTTGCTCTGCGTGAATCTAGAACTAGAATCCTGAATACTCGCACCTGCTCCATTGCTGTGCTCTTTGTACCCTGTGTGACAAAGTCTGGTGCTATTCTCCTGAGCGCAAGGACTTTTATGATTGTCAGTTGTTGCGATGAGGATTACGATGATGTCACCGGTACTGTCCCGTGTCATGATCACTACTTTGAATCTGCCATTCCTCCCGCCCTCACAAGTGAGCTCCTGGCTTATCTTTGGCGGAGACATCTGCCCGCAAACGCGACAACAGGGAGACCTTGTTTTGGACATGAATTCTGTCGCATGGATTGGGCGTCTCGAACTTGATTAGACCAGTTCTTCCAGCTTAAAGCAAGGAAGGCGGCAGCCAATCTTTCTCACACCCTGCTTAGATGCCGCATCCGAGCCTGCGCCGGCTGCACATTGCCACCCAGAGCGCAACGAACGACACGCCCCTAACCTGTAAAATACTGTAACATATAGTATAAGTACAGCATAGCAAAGCCAAACTTCCTCAGAGCAAATTCGATCCGGCCCAAGCGAGAGTCTGGTCTGGGGAAGTGGCCATGGCAACATCGCCCTTGATCCTGCTGCGGGCAGTCGGGAGCAGGGACGGAGTGGATGGGACTCCTGATGAATCTACCCATGTCTTACTGCTGCCTTACTCTCTTGCAATTGTGACGTGAAGAGGAAGCTCCGACTTCTGTGGAGAGGTTGCAGGGACCTGTTCAGGCGCAGCACCTTACCATGGTTTCCCAACTTTGCATGGTGCACACCGTAAAGTAGAAGCTCTCAAGAGAGCTCAAAACCGTCTCCCAAAATTCCGAAGGACGTGTTCTTGGAGCCCGCACGCAGCATGATGCAAAGGAGTCAAGCCGGCATAGTCACCTGGAAGATCAATGGCGGCTCTGACGTGGACGTGTAATATCTGTCTATCTATCTATCTATATATCCATACTTGGAATGTTTCATGTAGCTCCTTATTTGATGATAAATGTGTGTGCGTGTGTGCGTGCGTGTCTAAGTGTATGCATGCATGCAGGTATGTGCAGAGCTATATGCATGATGTATGTAAGTGTGTGTATATATATATGTACATGTACATGTACATGCATATGTATATATATATGTACAAGAAATTGTGTATGTGTATGTGTACTTGCATGTGTATGTGTATGTGCATGTGTATGTATACGTGTCTGCATATGTATTGTGTGTATATACAAAGCGTGCTTATGCACACCCAATGGGATTAAGAAAATGCTTCTTCGCGTCTCCTGGACCATCCTCTCTTACTGTGATGACCACACATTCCCTATTATGGGTAATGCAGGATTTATATCATCAACCGTAGGTCCCCCGCGGCAGTCGAGGTCTGCCTTGGTGTCTGCTGCCCTCTGAGCCTGCAGCCACCGACAGGGGGTTCAGGATTAGGGTTTGGGGTTTCGGCTTCAGGGTTAGGGTTTGGGGTTTCGGGATTTCGAGTTCCGGGTTTAGGGTTTGCGGTTTAAGGTTTGGGCTTTGGGTTGAGGCTTCCCGATGCTTCTGTTCCGGGGAACGTTCCATCTGACATCCTGCCAAAGATGTCGATGTGAGCTTCGACGATTCCAACCATGTTAGTTCGTCGTTTACTTGATCTTTATACTATAGATGATCTATGATGAAGAAACTTCTTGACTATCACCTGTCGACCTGTCCTCCGAAGAGGTGAATGCAAGGGCTTGCCGTGTTCTACCGGTCTCGGTAGTGAAGCCTATACTAAACCCTAAACCCTAAACCCTTAACCCTAAACCCGCATGGAATCACGTCTGGCATAGCATAGAAAGCGCATGGCGCCATGTTTGGCTCTGTCTCTTTGTAGTGTGAAGATTTGAGAGCTGCCCTGCAATAGGCTTAATTTACTATGATATACCATACTAGAGTAGCACAGAGTAGAATGTACTATAATATGCCATAACACCCTGTAACGGTATACCATAAAATACAATGGACTATAATATACCATAATACCCAAGAAGGTTTTTCACGAAAATGTAATACAGTATCCCGAAACCCATCCAGGCTCCGTGCGGCTGCGGCATTGCTGGCACGAGCTGCCTGACATGATGTTTCGGGGCTCGCCGGGGATAGGATGTTACACTATATTACGTTATGGTGGCTTATTCCACATTATACCATACTATGGCATATTCTAGTACATTGTAAGGCTACCGTCGCTTAGTCTGTATTCTGCCACATTATCGCATATTATTCTACATTGTAAAGACATGGCAGTCCTGCCTGGTACAAGGCCATCCCAAGGTTATCCATGTCGTGCGTCCAGACGCTGGTGCAAAGATGCCGGGTGATGACTTGAGGTGCCTGGGCTGCTCTTGGAGCCCTCTACAGGCCTTACTCATGTGCAATAAAGACCCTAAACACGAAATCCTAAACCCTGAACACTAAACCCTAAAACTTGAACCCTAAACTAAAAAAACTAGAAAGAACTGCCCAAGGGTCAAGGGACATGGAAAGAAGGCGAGCTCATAGAGGGATTGAACACGTCTGCGGGCAGGACCTCAAGAGGACATATCAGCTCCTCTGAAGCATGAGGCTATGGACTGATATGTGGACCTTAATAGTCAAAATAGGATTTTGAGGCATTTTTATACTATCATCAATCACAATAAGGAACCCCCAATCATTTAGGCCCCTATATCAGCTCACTAGCTATGCAAAGCGAGAGAAGTCACTGACGTAAGGTTTTGGACATGCTGAAGCTCCTCAGGCACCGGCGTGCACATCGCTCCCGTACCTTTCGACCTGGAGTCCAAGTTTTGCAGATACCCTCAACCCTAAGCCCTAAACCCTAAACCCTTAAATCCTAAACCCCTAAACCCTAAACCCCTAAACCCTAATCCCCTAAACCCCTAAACAGTACAAAGCCTAGCACTCCCCATGCAAGGCGGGCACTTTCATGTCAATCCGAGTGGCCACAGCATCCAAGAGCTGGGGTCCCGTGAGCTGCCAGGTCGTCCGGTACAGCTTCGGTGTAGCGCGGCGCCGCGCTGCCTTGGGGCTTCAGGCTTGAGAGTACTTTAGGGGCCGTAGACAGGTAGTAGAGGGTTTGGGGGTATATGATATCATAACTACAATAGGGAGCCCCTAAAACAAAGTAGAGCGCTGCTCATGGAGGTGCGTAAAAGGTTGCAGCTCAGCGCTCCTGGCGGGCCTTCTGATCGACTCTGTAGTCTCTACACATCTATAATAGGGCTTTGGGGTTGGGGTTTAGGCTTCAGGGACTAGGGTTTCGGGTTGTGGGTTTAGAGTTTAGGCTTGGGTACCAGGGTTTCGGGTTTTGGTTTTACAGTTTAAGTTTTAGGGACTAGGGTTTAGGCTTTAGGGGTTTAGGGAATACCTTAGTGACACCTGAAAGCAGAAGGCAAGTGGGGATGCTTCTGCAGATGTCAACACATTCGCAGCGATACGCTAGGATCGTCCCCCGCTCCGCTTGTGATTTCGCATTTCGACTTGAAGCTGCTCCTCAAGAATCCTGCCTTGGCAAATCTGGGCTTGCGTCCAGGAGTTACAGTTGCTTAATGCACTGGCCGTTGCGTGTGCAAAACTACCTGTAGACATGCACACACAACGCTTGGCATGTCGATCCTGGAAACATCACAATCCCATAACATTAAATAATTACCAATACCATTTTGGGGGTTCCTTATTGTAACTATAGTATAGTGGGGCCCCAAACCCTATTAGTAAAGGCCCCTATACTAAATGGGAACATGACGGATCACGACTCGACGGTGCCTCCGCAGCCAATGCCCGCCAGAATGGATGCCCTGCTGGTGAGGCCATGAGGGAGTTCTGATGCTTCTCGTTTTCAACCTGAATCTGCAGGTCAAGGCAAGGCATAGCTGGGAGTGGCAATAGCTTGTAATAGGGCCCATTTAGGGGGCTCAGGAATGCACCGTCCCTGCAGTCCTGCATCGCTCACCGCGCTGATGAAAGCTTGTTAGTTCACCGAGCGGCATACGGGCTTGCCACGATGCTTACTCCAGCTGGAAGGCGCGGAAAGGGGTTGTCGAGAGCCTCGACATCCATGTCTGCGTAAAGGCCACCGTGGAGAAAGAGCATTGCTGCCCTTGCAAAGTCTACTCGCTGAATCTGGTGCTCGTATGAATCGTAGGTCGGGAGGTGCTCTGGGAAGGCCTCCTGAACCAATGCCCGCAAGCCCTCGTCGTCCCAGAGAATGCGCCGAACCCCACTGCACACTCGGCCCCAACTCTGGTAGCACCTCTCCCAGCGAGGATCCCAGCGTCCCTCGTCGCGTGGAGCGGTTTGGTGGAGGATGGCGGGTATTGCCATCTTCCTCAGAGGTCTGAGCTTCAAAACCCCGGCGAACCAGCCATGCAGGTCTTCCAGCCATGGGCTCCAAGCTACCCCGTGTAGTTCCAATCCTAGCACCTGTCTAACCAAGGTTGACTGCAGCATAGCACATGGCCAGCCTTCGACGATAAGGCTGCAGTAAGTCCATAAAGCTTGTCACTGGGACACAAGGACTACCTTCCGCCGATGCTAAAACAGAGCTGGCAAGATGCTTGACCGACACCAACAAGCGAAGTGCCTGTGGCTTGAAGCACAGCCGAACTGAAGAGCCGGAGCCCTGCAGATTACGACCTCCTTCTCCCACGAATTATCCTAAACCCTACACTCTTGTGACTCTTGTAGGCGATGGTCCCTAAAGCTGTGCCGTACCATTTGCACAACACCTATGAAATACTGACCGTACCTGAACAGTTCTGAGCGAGGACGCAGCCGGACTCTAAGGATCCCGACACTCAGACACTTCTTTATCCGGAGGTTTAAATGTGCCAGGCTAGCGATCATTGAAGCGACGTCTCCTACTCGCAGCATTCTCGGAAGGTTCTCGATCCTTTTTCATCAGAGCGATGCGCGGCTGCTTCACGAGAGGATTTCGGCATCCTCCTGGTCGGATCTCGCTGTGTTTCGCCGCTTCCGGATTGGTCTTCGTGCTGAGTTATACGGTCTTTCTGGATTGCACTGACTCCCTGACAGCTTCGACGGCTGACTGCAAAGGCTGGGTCAGGAAAGGTTATTGCACCAGGTGCACAGGCATGCAAGAGCAGCAGATTCAATTTCTGGCAGCGCACATTCAGAGGATATAGATTTGTTCACAGGCAAAAGGTGTTAAGTCTTGAAATTCCATCTGGGCCACTTCTGCTGGCCGGTTGCCATTCTGCAAATGACCCGTTGTCTCGCTTCTCGATGACAGTTGGTGCGGCTGGTGCCGGTCTGCAACCCCAGAAAAACGGCTTGCAAGCCTCTTGCCGAGGACCATTACACAGTAACCGGTGTTCGATGCCCGCATTTTGGCTGCCTCAAGCTGCTGATTTCAACTCCAGGAGGTAAGCTTAATTGGGGGAAGCCGGCTCCACACAGACATGCACACGGAGGGAGGAAGAGAGAGAGAGAGAGAGTGAGAAAACACGTATGGGCATCATCCAGATCTGTACAACTTATCAAACGCAATCCTGGTCAATGTGCCCGATGATGAGCATCGCTAGCAGCACCTTTGCCTCAGATGAAGCGTGGCTTCTCCGTGCACATCCGAAACTTCACGGCAAGCTCAACCCCGATGCACGTCGAAACCACTTGACGAGTCAAAGCAATGCTCTAAAATTACTGATGGCAGGTATTCCAACTTCAAGGCCAAATGGAAGAGGACACCGTCACTTCAACCCAGCCGCTTGACCAGGGAGGAGCCTCAGAAGGGCCTGCAGCTATGATGTGAAAACCAAGCGAAGCTTTCCTCCCCCTCTGCTGCCCCAATAATATTTTGGGGTTCCCTATATACTGTCATCACAGTATATTACAACCCAAGGCCCCAAAGCCCCAAAGCCCTATTCCAATTCTGGAGCGGGTTTCTTACTCTAGTGATGGTGTATTACAACCCGAAAGCCCCAAAAGCCCCAAAAGCCCCAAAGCCCCAAAGCCCCAAAGCCCCAAAGCCCCAAAGCCCCAAAGCCCTATTCCAATTCTGGAGCGGGTTTCTTACTCTAGTGATAGTGTATTACAACCCGAAAGCCCCAAAAGCCCCAAAGCCCCAAAGCCCCAAAGCCCCAAAGCCCTATTCCAATTCTGGAGCGGGTTTCTTACTCTAGTGATAGTGTATTACAACCCGAAAGCCCCAAAAGCCCCAAAGCCCCAAAGCCCCAAAGCCCCAAAGCCCCAAAGCCCCAAAGCCCTATTCCAATTCTGGAGCGGGTTTCTTACTCTAGTGATAGTGTATTACAACCCGAAAGCCCCAAAAGCCCCAAAAGCCCCAAAGCCCCAAAGCCCCAAAGCCCTATTCCAATTCTGGAGCGGGTTTCTTACTCTAGTGATAGTGTATTACAACCCGAAAGCCCCAAAAGCCCCAAAAGCCCCAAAGCCCCAAAGCCCCAAAGCCCCAAAGCCCCAAAGCCCTATTCCAATTCTGGAGCGGGTTTCTTACTCTAGTGATAGTGTATTACAACCCGAAAGCCCCAAAAGCCCCAAAAGCCCCAAAGCCCCAAAGCCCCAAAGCCCTATTCCAATTCTGGAGCGGGTTTCTTACTCTAGTGATAGTGTATTACAACCCGAAAGCCCCAAAAGCCCCAAAAGCCCCAAAGCCCCAAAGCCCCAAAGCCCCAAAGCCCTATTCCAATTCTGGAGCGGGTTTCTTACTCTAGTGATAGTGTATTACAACCCGAAAGCCCCAAAAGCCCCAAAGCCCCAAAGCCCCAAAGCCCCAAAGCCCCAAAGCCCCAAAGCCCTATTCCAATTCTGGAGCGGGTTTCTTACTCTAGTGATAGTGTATTACAACCCGAAAGCCCCAAAAGCCCCAAAAGCCCCAAAAGCCCCAAAGCCCCAAAGCCCCAAAGCCCTATTCCAATTCTGGAGCGGGTTTCTTACTCTAGTGATAGTGTATTACAACCCGAAAGCCCCAAAAGCCCCAAAAGCCCCAAAGCCCCAAAGCCCCAAAGCCCCAAAGCCCTATTCCAATTCTGGAGCGGGTTTCTTACTCTAGTGATAGTGTATTACAACCCGAAAGCCCCAAAAGCCCCAAAAGCCCCAAAGCCCCAAAGCCCCAAAGCCCCAAAGCCCTATTCCAATTCTGGAGCGGGTTTCTTACTCTAGTGATAGTGTATTACAACCCGAAAGCCCCAGAAGCCCCAAAGCCCTGTTCCGATCATTCAGCCCGGTTGCCGGCACCGGAGGGCGAGGCCTTCGGCCAGCTCGGGGACATGTGCGGCGACATGTGGGGCCAGCTCTCGCCTCGAATGCGACGGGTTTAAGGGTTTAGGTTTAGAGCTTAGGGTTTAGGGGTTTAGGGGCATGGGTTTAGGGTTTAGGGGTGTAGGGTTTAGGGCCTCGAATGCGGCGCAACGCGCTGCGTGTTCGGAATGCGGAAAGCTCGCGGGGTCATGCAAGGCATGTATCTACTGATTAAAGACTTAAGCAGTAATAAACTTTTTCACGGCTGCCAGTGTGTGTATATGCGTGTGTATATGTATATGTGTGTCTATGCACGTATATACCCGATGTATGTCTTATAGAACAGATAAGCCGCTCGGCGTGCGTGTACGTAGAGGTGCCCTTCATTTTTGTGAAACCCACCGGGTTTGGCAAAGAACACCCGGAAGAACCAGACTGGGCCTCCGCCCGCAGATGCGGCTTCCTTGTAGAAGGCCGCGATGTCAGCGGAGTAGGCCTCGGAGAAACATTCAGCGTTGGGATTCTTGCAGGACTGCACTTAAAGGATCATAGTACTTAGTAACTAGGGTTATAATTAGGGTAACTATACTTATAACTACTTATAACCCCAATTAAGGTACTTATAACCCTACTTACTAAGTCCCATGATCCTCCAAGCAAGCCAGGTGCTCCTTCTGGAAGAGACGCTAGAAAGGTGGGAAGCTCATCAAAAGACATACTTACGGGAAACTGTAGCCCCCCATGAGGACTGAGACGCTTGCGGACCAAGCAAGCCAAATGCACAGCGAGAGGACGGCCTCAGGAAAATCGCGCTTGCGACATTTTCTCTTGGCTGCATCTCTCCGTGAGGCTTTGAGCTCTATCCGACAGGCCGTGAGGAATTCAGGGTATCTTTGCCTACCTTCTGTTGGGTCCAAACAGGCTCCTTGCTCGTTTTCCTCGTCGTTGTACCCCACGATACCTACATAAAGACTGTGTTTTTTTGGTTCTGTTCGGTGTGTGGGGGCTGGTGCCGGCTACTACACCCACACCGACGCGTACGTATCAAACAAGATTGGAAGCCCAGACCAGGCGTGGGCTTGGAGATTTGGCCGGTGGCGCGACCTGCCAACCTTCAAGGGCGGCGGGAAGACACGACGGCTGGGACCCCGACGATGGCCACGAGCATGATTCCAAGTAAAAACACCTGGGCGGAGGTGTCAAGAGCTGCTTGGATCCCAAACCCTAAACCCTAAACCCTACACCTTAAACTCTAAACCGTTAACCTGAAACCCTTAACCCTTCTGGCATCTGGAAGCTTCCTATTCGGAGCTTGCGACCCAGAGTCGATGCTACTTCCATCTCAAAGCACATGAAGTCCCGAATTCATGCACGTGGGCCCCGGGCCGCGGATGGCGCCTTGTCACAGAACTCCTGCACCTCCAGCCGGTACACGAAGGCAATCATACATCTCTTGCCAAGCACCTTTTCCACTGCATCCCTCCGAACCCAAACCACATGACGGTCTGGGGAGTGGTGTGGGGCGATGCAACAGCAGACGTATTATGTGTTTCACAGGCGAGACATTGCGCCACAAGACCACCTTCAAATTGTATCTCGTCACACTTCTGTCCTATAACCTATAACATCTCAAGAGCCCGACGCGGCAGGCGAACGTCGTTTAAAGTTTAGAGGCCGCTGCTATGGACAAAACTAGCACATACTTCGTGTCAGGCTTCGGGTCTCGGTGTGGTATGCCATGCTTGGAGAGTTCGCAGGTCATAGAGGCTGGAGCCCCCATGCGACTGAAGTTAAGCAACTTGTTTCTCTACTGATGTGCGTGGCTGCATCGAGCCCGAACCCAAAGCCATCATCGGAGCTCCAAAGTACAGTTCTGGGACCTTGGCTAAATGATGCCCGAAAGCCCTGAAAGATAACTTCGAGACAAAGCCACGCCCTCCAAGAGCGAGCTGAACTCCTGGAGGATCTGTGGGTCCACTGGGGCTTCAGGCTTTTCAAGGTTTACGGTTTAGGGCTTCAGACGCTTTCACGGGGTGGACTAGGGTTTGGGGCCTCCAGATCGGGCGTGGGCTTGGCTTACCTTTGGTTAGTAGGGGATGGAAAGGTGG